ACACATCTGACTGCTAGAATGACTTGAAAAAGCTAAACATGAAATGCCCACAGCGTCAAAGCTGCACAGTGCTGATGAAACGAGCAGCACTGCTATCTGTAGCGGCAACAGCAAAGGAATTTTAATAGACGACGCACATGGACTTGCGAATATAAAAAAGTACATAAAATATAGCAGATTGAGAAAAGTGAGTATAAAAGTTTTCTTTTTAGAGTGAAAGCTTAAGAATAATAACAGATAATTGCAAAAGTTAACATCACCATAATGACTGCATGCACAATTTTCTCAGCTTACCAAGCAGAGAAGTTTTAAAACTTATTTAAGCAATGTACATTATGTGCGCACTACATGGGCTAAAAAAAGCCTTTGAACTAAAATGAAAGCATTTTTTTTTGCATGAAAACATTGCTTTATTCTTTTACATAATCTGTACCTAGAGTAATGCATTTGTTGATATGGATCTCCAACATTTCGAAACCGGTTCAATAGTGTGTTATGCGAGGTCTTCAAAATAAGTGTTTGTCTTCATCTTTATCGACTATTTTGAGTGAAATATTTTATCAGCGTATCACTCTTTGAGTCTTGGAATGTGGAAATAGTCTCTGGCGGCCAAACTGGCAAAACACAAATTGAACGAGCTGCAATATTGTCTTGGATGTACAAAAAATGCGACGCCAACGGTGAGCAAACCTCTTTAATTCGTAAAAATTAGTAAATATTATGATGATCTATGCGCTTTTTGAGATGTCAAATATGTTAAGTGACTCACTCAATTTCGTTCAATTGTGACGATTTCTAGCTCAGGCGAAAAACCGTATAATAACTTCTTATATCAGAGAAAACACTTTACAGTTCTAATATACTTGGTTCAACACTGAACTGGCTAAACCTTAATTTGATGTTCAAAAGTGAAAGACATTTTTTAATAATGTTATTAACAATTTAAGGCAATGGTTCCACTAAAGAATTCTTCTGCCTTCAAATTTATTATAAAATTTTTTTCAAAATCTACAAGACTCACAAATTCAAAGAGCGCCACCACTAATAAATGTCTTAACGGTACATAAATTTTGAAGCACAGCTGTCGAAAAAGCAAAGCTCCAGAGAGAGGAGCATTAAAAAGATTGCAAACTTTTAATAAATAGATTTGTATGCACATACTCAGGTACAGAGATATTTTTATATAGAAGTATGTACATTTATATCTGTAATTGTGCCACATGCATATATGTATGTATACGTTATATATAAGTATGTAGCTATGGTGACACCAAAGTCACAAAGTCAAAGTCAGTGCCCAAAACAGCAACGTCGGCAGCGTACAATGCCTCCAAATATCTCGATGTTACGAAAATCGGTCGGTTTGTTATTACATTTCATACATGTACATAACATATATCATACATATACATAAATGATCTTTCATGCTCTTCATTTTATGTACAATATATAAGCGATACTGAAACTCGCGTAAACATCGCGCCAAGAAGTGACTAAACATTTCTGGGAGGCGATAAGCGATTATGTTAACATGCGAAGACCACTACCGGCAGAATTACTTGCTACAGACATACATGCCGTGAAGCCGGTTACGATGTGTTATTATTGCGCATACCTACAAGTATATATATATTTATATACATATACTTATACACATACACATCTGCATAACATTAATATTCAGCTAAACTTGATTGATATTGTCGAGGTACTGAGAGCAATGGATTAATGTAAACTTGCAGATTCTGAGCAAATGATTCTGTTAAAGTTTTACGGTGTGGGGCTGGTTGGGCGCCGACCATTAGCTGAGAGCGTGGCAGAGAATACTTCAGCGAAATCGTATGATCGACAAGTTAACGTTCAAAAACATTAATCACAATTTTTATTCAGACATGTGCCTCCATATTAATCAAAGAGAGATATAAAATCAACGAAGTATAGTTTCGGTGGCAAGAGCAAGTATCTGTCAAAGTAAAATGTCACATAAAATCACATTAGATGTGTTTTTTTTATTACTATTTCTATTGCTTATGTAAACTCTTAATGCAGCGCAAAATCGTGTGATACTAAAACTTATAATTAATAATAATAATTTATAATATTTTTTTTTTTTAATTTTTATACAAAATATTTTATCTATTGACAATATTATATATACATATATTTTTGTTTTAAACTCTTTATAATAAAATCTAAGAAGTATTTAAGTGCAGGCTTTGTAGTAAAGACCGACACTACTAAACTAAAGAATTAAAAGTTAACAAAAAGTGTGTTTCTACTGTTCTCAAATACCTTTATAAGCGTTATGTAAATTATTGATTAATTTATAAACAAACAAATATTTTATTTTATTAGATTAACAATCCCTTCGACTATACTACGAGTACTATATAATTTTCCTCTTTTTCTTAAGAGCATACATTTTTCTAACCCGTTAACATTAAATGTTATTTTATAATTTTGAGGTATTATTTTGTGAAAGAATATAAAAATGATCTTTTACGATTTAAGGTTGGACTTTGACCTCGAGTAACTTTTAAACGAGCCAACTTAGCAAAGCATATTATAGATGTGGTCCAACGGAACACAATATATTGATTATAACAAAACTAGTGAATGAAACAGTTAGATAAAACAAAATTAATGAGAAGGACTGAGGTACTAAGCGAATACTATTTTAATATTAACCTTACCATACCCATATAGACCATACCGAAATAGACCCATATTGTACTCGTATATGGGACAGGGTTGCAAATATTGTATTAATTAACATTTAATTTAATTACATTCTTTACATGTTATGGGGGCAATGACCTGTCTGGTTATATTATGAGGTCAATGAACTTGTTGTTTACATTTTGCCGAGGTCAATAACCATCTTGCTTACATATACATTTTATTTGGGGTCAATGACCATTTTGTTTACATTTAGCCAAGTCCACAACCTTTCTTTACATTTAGCTAAGTCAACAACATTTGTTTACACCTGGGGTCAATGACTTCTCTGTTTACATTTCATGGTAATCTTTGTAAAATGCAAGCTTATTTTTAATAGAATTTCAAAATAGTCGAACATATCGGTCTTATTTACATTTAATTACCATTTATTATAGTGTTTCAGTTAAAAATACGTAAATCTTTCCCTTTTTATTCCAGCTTTTGATTTGAAAAGTAATATTGTATTTATTTTTAGATTGAAAAATATTTTATCAATTATTAATGCTGACGTTTTATAGTTTTGGAAAATATATTTTATGTGTGCTGTATAGATTTATTACCCAATTTCATTTATTTTTCCGCATTCGTGTTAGAGAACTAATCAAAGGCCTTTCAAAACCATTCTATCGTACCAATAACTGGTACAAAAGTTTATCTCCTATGTATATATTATAACTTAAAATCCGACAGTAAATATCAAAAACTAAAAGTTCAGAAGGCGACATTATGGTCTCAATTTTTTTTACTCCGAATTGCTTTTTGTCAGAACTTTTTTAGCTAAATCGTTTGCCTCTAATACTATGCTTTATGTTTATACCTTTATAATAAAACTCTTGATAAAAGCTCCAAAAAAAGTTAATTTAATCAAAAATCGCCAAATTAACGCAGGAAGTCTATAAATTGTGATTTTAAAACGCCACCTAAAACGTCTACGTAAACTCCACGACGCAAAACAACAAAAACGATAATTCAAAATAATAACAGCACGCTTATACTCTCGTGTGTAAAAAAAATAATAAACAGAATTTAATATCAACACTTTAAGCGGCACGTATCTGATAACAAAAAGGAATTTATCAAACAAAACCACAGCACTTAGGAATGATTTAAATACCGTTATGCCGAATAAAGATATCAGCAGCATTTACAAAACGTACTTTAAGTATGTGTTTACAGTGGTGTTCGGAAAAATAGCAGCGCTTTTCTAAAATTGGAAAGCTTTTATGGTTTACAACATTTTTTGTTGAGTCTAATAGAACATATTTTGAATAAATAATAACTTTCAAAGATAAAATAATGTGCATGTGCTTATATACAAAAAGTTTGCTTAGTTTTAGCACACACCTTGTATATATTGAGAAATAACATAAAGAACTACTAAAAAAACGGTTAATAATTTTGACAAAAAAAAAACTGCTTTAAAATTTATTTGTACGATTTCTTTCATAATATGGCAACACAGTAATCTCAAGTATTTCTATATAAAGGAGTTGAACGATGCCAGATATATTGAAGTCGTGTGTCATTGCGAATTCGCGTTGTTTTTAAAAGATCCCAAGAGCAACCTAACAGTATTATAAATAGTGTTGCTATTTTTTTTAACTCCATCGTATGTGCATACCAACTGTGTATATCAATTGATATCACACGCAATTCGTTTGTGAATGGTGCTCAGTGCGTATGAGCAACTTTTTACTCACTTCACTGCACTTCACTTTTATTGTCACATTAATTTCCACTTGCTGCATAATCAATTTGGAAAGCTTCGCAGCTTTACTTTCATAAGCACTATGTAATTTGTACATATTATAAGCATTTATTTGATTGATTGTGGTGAATGTATGACTTTGTAATTTAAAGTTTTTTATCAACTCCACGGCTCATCAAAGATGAAAACAATTATTGTGTTTAAGTGCATATGTAATAAAGTATGCCTATGTAGCTGTTGCATGTACATATATATACATACATACATCGCTTATTTGATAACTATAAAGCTTAGTATAAGTATTAATATTTCTCGGCCTTTTTTACGAGTCATTTCATTATCAGCAATTTATGGCATCGAGCAAAAGGTTTTGCAGACGAAAATGATTGCAGCATTCAGACAGGCTTAATTAGTTTAGTGAATTGCTATTTTAAATATACGAATATGTGAAATATACATTTTATGCAATAAAATTTATTTTGTCTGAAGACTGAAAAGTAATTTTAGGAAAATAAACAACTAATTGTAGGAAGTTTACAAAAATAAATGGAAAATTTTAAATTTTTTTTGCGATTTTTTTCTCAACACAGTCTACTTTACGTACGATATACTTCATCCAGCATTGCTCTAAATTTGCACGTCTGAAAAATACGTTTTCTGAAGGTCTGCAAAATAGATTAAATAGGAAAAAAATCTCAGTCAAGCAACTAGCAAAATTATAAGCGCTAATTGTACCTGTACAGATCTACGCAAACTTTAAAAAATGTTGATGCTTAAGGGGGTCACCCATATGACGGCCTGCTTTTTAGAGATTTTTTACGATTTTTTTTTTACGACCAGTAAATAGATAGAGGTTTAAGTTTATTAGCATTTATTAACATATATTTTAACAGTATGAATATAAATTTTAAGCCAACAATATTGTGTAGAATATGACTTACAGCGTAAACATTCCCGCCTCGAAAAAATAGGCTCGCACTTCCTCCACGATTCCGGCTGATTGGCTTATCTGAAACAAAAAATTTAGCGACGATTTAATCTGGAAGCTTAAATGAACGCAATGGACTTTTATCAAATGAATATACCAAAATTTGGACAGACATTTGAAAAAAAAGTTGCGGTTTTTTTTTTTGGTACTTTGCTATAAACATTTTTTGGAATCTTTGATTGATAATTGTTCAATACATGCGTTTACATATGCTGAGTGTAGGGTACAAATTTAAAATTATTCGTTCCAGCCGTTTTTGAGATACGGTGGAGGAAAGTTTGAAAACACACAGTTTTGAGAAAAACGCGTTAAAAGCTCTAAGTCCGCTTAAACAACAGCCGAACTGCTCCTTCTTTTAACTGCTCTATCTTTAAAACGACTTCGAATTTTTAACTGCCGTATTCTACACATGTTCAGCAAGAGCATTCAAATTTTCGATCCCATTACACGGGAGTAGCCACCTTTCAAAAATAAAAAAGTCTAAATAAAAAACTCTAAAAAATCAATATAAAATAATAATATTTCAGTGCTGACTGAGCACTGGTGACATTTAGTTTATAGTTCATCAGAACGTCTTTAAAGTTTAGAATTTCAACAGCCTTTAGTGCAACTTTCTCAAATTTTAGCAGAAAGCAGAGAAAGTAAAATAGTGCAGGTGAATTTTTCTCATTGATGCACTGAGTCCATCACCAATTTTGCTCTGAGCACTCATACCTTTGAACTTGCTCGTAGAAAATCTGAACCGCTGACAACCGCTGAATTCAGAATATGTCAGTGAAAAATTTATAATTATTTATATGTATATGGAAGTTGCCACTAATGCCTCCACATCTACACGGCAGATAGAAAATTTTAATGATTCTTCAAAGCTTCAGGTAAGACCTTGATCATTTGATATCTATTTCAGTGATTCTTCAAAGTTTACTTCGGACCTGTACTTCTCCACTCTTCCACTCTTCGGACCTGTACTTCTTACCCTCTTTTGTATGTATTGAAATATGTCAACTAATAGCGGGTATTTGGTATATAAAGTATATAGTATATACATACAAATGTATGTACATATAAATAGTTCAATTTATAGAAGAATCAACAATTTGATAAGGCAATAAGAAAACAAAATTTACTTACATACATATATGCATACATATACAGGGTATCCCAAAATTAACACAAGATTTAAATTTGCCGCTATTTATATAGCAAAGTGTTGCCAACCATAAAAAAAATCTAAAGCTAACAGTTTAGGCTTAGTAAAAATGGTGCGCGATAGAGCGACGTGTCTTCATTATTGAACAATATTTCGAAAATAATGACAGCTTGGCGGCCGCACTTCGAAAATTTCATACAAAATATAGTCGGAATAGTGTTTAAAAGCGTCAAATGTGAAAAAACTAATTGAAAGATTCCGGTAGACAGGTTCTGTTGAAGACGTCAAACACACTAGTCGCCCAAAAACAAGTCGATCAAATGACAATATCGAAGCAGTGCGTGAGAGTGTCGTTGACAATCCAAGAACCTCAATTCGGCGTCGTGGATAAGAATTGCAAATTTCAAGAAGTTCTTTACAGCGTATACTCACTAAAAATCTGTGTCTTCATGTTTACAAAATTCAAATAACACAACAACTAAAGTCTAACGAACAATTTAATTTCAATAATGCGTTAATATTGGCACACCCTTTACATGAGATAAGCATATAGTGCAGTATGTATGTATTTATGACACATGGCGCATAATTTATACATACATACATAACTTACATATATTTTGGAGATAAGAACTCGGTTGCCTCGGTCAATCGCGACACACCTACGAAATTCGTTAAAGCACGTGCAAGAAAAAAATAAAGCAACAAAACGAGATAGGTGTGTTTTTATTAGTAATGCTCCAAAAACAATTAAAATGTGAAATATTTATGCATATACAATAGTATATACATACATATCAAGAAAAAAGAACGTAAACTTGTGATAAAAACACTGTATTTTGACACCTCAATCTCTCATAAATGGCTGTAAACATCTATGTTTGTGTGTATGCATGTCTTAAAATTACCTAATTTCATAAGTATATAAAATAAAAACTATGTGTTATTATAATTAATATCAGACAAATGTGGGTTTACAAAATATTTCAAGAAAATCATATTATATAAAAAATTGGAGGATGTATGTATGTATATCTTTCTGCTAAAGAGTACAGCATCTCCGCTATTTTCCCACAAATTTTAATAAGCGACTCACACTTGGTCGACGCGCTTGATTATTACGTGAAATATCTTTTGACCCCTTCAAACGCAAAGCTAATATTTTACACATATGTATGTTTGTATGTACGTTTTTAAAAGTTATCAAAAGATAATATTATCTATTATAACACGTGTATTCCCTTATAAACGCCCTCGTATTTGTACACTTAATTATCTGCATATTTACGTTTCTTCATTTTCTTTGGAATAGCCGGTAGCTTTATATTGATTCGCTATTGTTGTTATTAATGTCGTTGTGCAGACAAACGGCGTTCAATTGCTGAGTAAACATGTTTATTTCTGTTTTATACATTTGCTTATTTCTTTAGTTTTTATTTGAATACGTGCAAATATACACATTAACATAAATATGTACATACATATAGTATACCGGCAAGTTTCTACATATGTACATATGTACATTTATTAATATATTTATATACACTGTTTACATTCTCCACGTTGATAATAGAGAACCTGGCGCTCTTCGCTAAGTAGGGTCAAGCTTTTATGTTAATACTAATTTACAGTCTTTGTCAAAATTTATATAGGTGGTCCTGTGGCGCAATGGATAACGCGTCTGACTACGGATCAGAAGATTCCAGGTTCGACTCCTGGCAGGATCGTAAGGAGATTTTTTTCATATACTTTTTTTTAACTTATATTCTTTGTGAATATTTGTTGGAAAGCAGTTATATGATTTCGATCGTTTTAACTTTTACATATTATAAAATTTAATGAAATATATTTTGTTATTACAAGATAGAGTTGAACTGAGTATATAAACGGTATACTATATAAATGCAACTCAAAGTTTATATAAGGAAGATTAGTATCCCAAATATGTAACTACAAATGGTTGTAATAAATAAAGACCTAACAATATGTAGCGACTGTTGCATTATTAATAGAGCAGTGCATATAATAGGTAAATTTTAAACTATATAAGATAATACCCCAATGTGCTCTTAAAACTAGAAAGCAGCGTTAGCGCAATTGACTGAGTTGATTTTACTCAATTTAATAGTTAACTCAAAAATCCTTATGATTATAAACCAAATATAAATGTTTTTGTTGTTAATGGTTTTATTAATGGATTTATTTTGCTCACAGTATAATATGGTTAACTATTACTAACTAAATAATTAAATAAATGAATAACGTGAACAGCTTGTAAGATCATAATATAATTGCCCTAATAAATGTGGCAAATACAACACTGTGAATCAGCTGATTTGTGAAATTTTGTAAAAATTGATATCAACAAATTGCAATTGTAAACAAATTAATTCGCAATAATTTCAACAAACATCATTAGTGGAAATGTTGACTGCCAAAATAGGTAAAGTTGGCAAAGTGCTTATATGTGGTATGAAAGGTGTTGGTAAAACGGCATTGTTGGAGCAACTAATTTATGGAAATGTCAACATGGATACGGTAGGCGTAATCATTCCAATCACATATTATCTCTGTTCAAACCATTTAGATTTATCAATTACAATTTAGGAATTACATCCCACTATAGAAGATATATATGTTGCTAGTGTGGATACAGGACGCGGTGGTGCACGGGAGTCTCTTCGCATTTACGACAGTGCTGGGTTACAGGGAAAGGGACAACTGCCACGCCACTATCTTTATTTTCCTGATGGTTATGTATTGGTATATGATCCTACAGATCCCAGTAGCTTAGACATGTTGGCAGATATTAAAACCGATATCGATCGTAATAAGGAAAAAAAAGATAATGTAGCTATAATCGTTTTGGCTAATATGCGTGCGCGCAACAGACGTGATTCACCCGCATCGCCACCTATACAAGTAACACAGCCACAAACACAGCAACAGCAGCTCGATCCAGTGGAGTCTGTATTGAATCGTGCAAATAGTTGGTGTGCTCGTGAACGTATTAAACATTACACCGTAAATGCCATGGAACGTCCGTCTTTATATGAACCATTTATATCATTGTGTGCCCGTTTGCATCCCCCACCGACAAAGAGCAGTTTCCCACAATTGCGTCAGGTGATGCAGAAAACGCAGAAAAGTGATAGCTAGGACGGGGAATCGGATGGCGGCGGTGATAATATGCTATGGTGTATAACAGGCTGTCAGCGAATCAGTGGTGGAGGTGGTGGGCAATAAGGTATTATGCGAAAAAATAAGAGTCTCGAAATGGTATTAAAACGACTTACAGTTTAATATTGCATATTTCAGTAATTAATTAATATTGAATTTTCCACTTACTATATTTAGTACTTAAATAAATAGTGTATAAAATGTCTTTATATGAACTGATAGCTGTTAAATTAATTAACAGTACAATATAAACTGAAGTAAACAAGTAACTGAAATTTATTTTATATAACCAAACACTGATGTTTTGTTTAAAAGGGTTCTAATACAGTTAAGTGGGATTTAGTACCCGAATATGTGGCAAAGTATTTGAGCCGCCTCGACACAATTGCTGCAACGGCGTTGATATAGTAAATGCAACCGTGTAGCATCTATTCTGCCGCTAGCGTTTGCTTGTTTCATTCAACTTCGTTCCGTCCGTCATATTTCATTGTGGAAATTTGTCTGCAGCTTGCAAAATTTTAAGATCGTGAAAAACAAATTGTTGCTGAAAAAACTCAAAAAACATTAATAAAAGTATTTAAAATATAGTGTTTACACAAAGGACTATGTCCAAAGAAGAAGTGAAAGCTGAAGTAATGGAAGCTAACGACAATTCGGTGAGTAGAAAACAATCGCTGAAAAATGTGAGCATGAGTCTCATTTGCTCATACATATAAATATATATGTATATATGTTTTGTCGGAACAAGCAACGCCGCTGGTTTGGCATTTGTTTGACGATGCGAACAGCTGGAAATGCCGGGCCAGCATGCTATTACAAAAAAAAAAAAACGCGGCAAAACAAAGTTCTTTTTTTAACCTGTACCCAATATTTTATAGAATGAAACCACTTCGGAGGCAACAACTTCGTCTGCTGAAAAGGAAGTAGATTTCGACAACAAGATTGAAAATGATCGAGGCAAACGTTTTGATTTTTTGCTGAAGCAAACAGAAATCTTCACACATTTCATGACAAATAGTAATAAAAGCCCAACTAAGCCTAAAGGACGACCAAAAAAGATCAAAGAAAAAGAGAAGGAAAAAGATGGCAATGCTGAGTAAGTGAATTTGAACGAAAAATCTGTAGTTATTAATAAAGAAAAAAAACCTTTGTAGCCATCGCCACCGTAAGACAGAACAGGAAGAAGATGAGGAACTCTTGGCCGAAGATACACAATCGAAGGAACTTTTCCGTTTCGAGAGTTCGCCCAGTTACATTAAAAATGGCGAATTACGCGACTATCAAGTGCGTGGCTTGAACTGGATGATATCGCTGTATGAAAACGGAATTAATGGTATATTGGCCGATGAAATGGGTTTGGGTAAAACATTACAAACGATTTCCTTGCTTGGCTATCTAAAGCATTTCAAGTAAGTTCACTTGACCTAAAATTTATTGATAATTTAACACGCTAAAATCTTATAGAAATCAAGCTGGTCCACATATTGTCGTTGTACCTAAATCAACTTTGCAAAATTGGGTTAACGAATTCAAAAAGTGGTGCCCATCATTACGCGCGGTCTGTCTCATTGGTGACCAAGATGCCCGTAACACATTCATACGGGATATATTATTACCAGGCGAATGGGATGTTTGCGTCACTTCTTATGAAATGTGCATACGCGAAAAGTCTGTTTTCAAAAAATTCAATTGGCGCTACATGGTTATTGATGAAGCACATCGTATCAAAAACGAAAAGTCGAAACTTTCGGAAATTTTACGTGAGTTTAAAACAGCCAACCGTTTACTTATCACTGGTACACCATTGCAGAACAACTTGCACGAGTTGTGGGCTTTGTTGAATTTCTTGCTGCCGGATGTCTTCAACTCTTCCGAAGATTTTGATGAATGGTTCAACACGAACACTTGCTTGGGCGACGATGCGCTCATAACACGTTTACACGCAGTATTGAAACCATTTTTATTGCGTCGTCTCAAAGCCGAGGTGGAACGCCGTCTTAAGCCCAAGAAAGAAATAAAAATATTTGTCGGCCTTTCAAAGATGCAGCGTGAATGGTATACAAAAGTATTAATGAAAGATATTGACGTTGTAAACGGTGCGGGCAAATTGGAGAAAATGCGTCTACAAAATATTTTGATGCAGCTGCGTAAATGCACCAACCACCCTTATCTGTTTGATGGTGCCGAACCAGGTCCACCGTATACCACTGACACGCATTTAGTTTATAACTCTGGTAAAATGGTTATACTTGATAAATTATTGCCCAAGTTGCAAGCGCAAGGTTCACGTGTACTTATATTCTCTCAAATGACACGCATGTTGGATATACTCGAGGATTACTGTTTATGGCATAACTATCAGTATTGTCGTTTGGATGGCCAAACGCCACACGAGGATCGTAACAGACAAATACAAGAATACAATATGGAAAATAGCTCGAAATTTATTTTTATGCTTTCCACACGCGCTGGTGGTTTGGGTATCAATTTAGCCACCGCTGATGTGGTTATCATTTACGATTCGGATTGGAATCCTCAAATGGACTTGCAGGTACGTGTGGCTAAACTCTTAATTTGTAACAGCGTTGTTGTAATGCATTGTTTTTATATACTTTTTAAAGGCTATGGATCGTGCGCATCGTATCGGCCAAAAGAAGCAGGTGCGTGTCTTCCGTTTTATCACCGAAAACACAGTGGAAGAAAAGATTGTAGAGCGCGCAGAAGTTAAGTTGCGTCTCGATAAATTGGTTATACAACAAGGACGCCTGGTGGACAGTAGAACGGCACAATTGAACAAAGACGAAATGCTAAATATCATTCGTTTCGGCGCAAATCATGTCTTCGCCTCTAAAGACTCGGAATTAACTGATGAAGATATTGACACCATTTTGGAGCGTGGTGAAGCCAAGACTGCCGAAGAAAAGGCCAAACTTGATCAATTAGGCGAAGGCTCTTTACGCACATTTACCGTTGACACCGGTGGCGGTGAGGGCGGTTCAACTTCTGTATATCAGTTTGAGGGTGAGGATTACCGAGAAAAGCAAAAATTAAATGCATTGGGTAATTGGATCGAACCACCTAAGCGTGAACGTAAAGCCAATTATGCTGTAGATGCATATTTCCGAGAGGCTTTGCGTGTTTCCGAACCAAAAGCGCCGAAAGCGCCACGCCCACCAAAACAACCAATAGTGCAAGATTTCCAATTCTTTCCACCACGTCTTTTCGAGCTGCTCGATCAGGAGATTTACTATTTCCGTAAAACCGTAGGCTATAAAGTGCCGAAAAACCCCGAGTTGGGTTCGGAGGCAACTAAAATGCAACGAGAAGAACAACGCAAAATTGATGAAGCCGAGCCGCTTAGCGAAGAGGAGATTGCCGAGAAGGAATCACTTTTAACGCAAGGGTTCACTACATGGACCAAACGTGATTTTAATCAGTTCATAAAAGCAAATGAGAAATACGGACGTGATGATATAGAAAACATTGCAAAAGATGTGGAAGGTAAAACGCCCGAGGAAGTAATTGAATATAATGCAGTATTTTGGGAGCGTTGTCATGAGCTGCAGGACATCGAAAGAATTATGGGTCAAATTGAGCGTGGCGAAGCAAAAATACAACGAAGATTATCAATTAAAAAAGCGCTGGATCAAAAGGTGAGTTGAAGTGAAAGTGTAAATTATGTAAACAGAGTATATATTTAAACAATTTTTTTCAGATGTCACGTTATCGTGCGCCATTCCATCAACTACGCCTGCAATATGGCAACAATAAGGGCAAAAATTATGTGGAACGTGAAGATCGCTTCCTGGTTTGCATGCTGCATAAACTCGGTTTTGACAAAGAAAATGTCTACGAGGAATTGCGTGACGCTATACGGTAAGTAATGAACATGAACTATGATAATCTGGCTTTAACCCCTTTCGTGTTTGTAGCTCATCGCCAGAGTTTCGCTTCGATTGGTTTATAAAATCTCGCACAGCACTTGAACTACAACGTCGTTGCAATACACTTATAACACTCATTGAACGCGAGAACATTGAGCTTGAAGAAAAAGAACGTCAAGAGAAAAAGAAGAAGGCCGCTAAGAACTCGACTGGCGCGAGTACAACAAGTGCACCACCGGCAAAGACAAATCAGAAGCGCAAATCCGAAGCAATGCCCGTTGAGAAGAATGCCAAGAAGAAGAAAAAATAGATCTAAAATATACTACATATATAACAAGCTACAACTTATTTACACAAAACACAAACGGCCGCTGTTTGAATGGTAGCAATTTCGTTGCTGTAGCCAACATATATTTGATAAACTTTTAACTATTTGATTGGCGGTGAGATCGACGTACGCAACCTTATCAATATATCACTCTTACCATACTTTTATATTCACTCATTGATCATAATTTTAATGCTTAAAACGACAAGCGCATGAACTTGGAGCTTCAATAACAAACTTAGCAGCAGCAGCAGGAAACAAATAAGCGTATATATACTCAAATATACTACTGTAAACCCACTAATTTAAGTAACCTTACATTTTTATGCTAAAAATATAGTAAACGTATGTATGTATTTATTGTATTAAAATAGCAGTACAAGCATTAAAAATTCCATCATCGCACCATAGAGCTAAAATTACTTTAGTTGCTTCACTCGATGTCTTGTTCGTTTTCATTAATTTCTATTAAGCGTACAGAATGACTTAAAAATATAAATGATACGAGTTGTCTAGTAAATTTTTTCTTTATATTATATGGGGTTAAAAATGTGGGATGATCTGCAATGCAACTTAAAAAATGCAAGTAACGGACAGTGACTATGAGGTGTACAGTTACAAATGGATGCATCTTCATAGAAACGTTGCCAACTATTTTTTTATTGGTTACTTCTATACGTTGTTGTTGTTGTTGTTGTTATAACGATTATCTAATCCCCGTTTGGGTGATAAATTCTAGATTCGTTGTCGTCGAGGTCATCTAACGGAAGGCCCAGGAAACGAGCTGTTTCGACGGGGTCGGACCATAGGGAAAGGGGTGTTAGATGAGTGGGGTTTGTAGGGCATGCAAAGAGGTGGTTAGTGTCATGCGGAGACTCATTGCATGCAGGACATGTGTTTAGTATGTCGGGGTCTATTCTGGATAGGTAGGAGTTTAACCTGCTACAGTATCCAGAACGAAGTTGCGCGAGGGTCACTCTAGATTCGCGAGGCAACTCGAGCTCTGTGTCTGCAATGGGTGGTGGTTTGACTCGTATTACGCCATTCACTGAAAGGGAGTCGGTGAAGGTGTTAATGGCTCCACTGTGAATGGCGGTCAGTGCTTGTCTGAAGTTAGTTGCGTCCGAAGTCTGGTCGACGTGCTGTCTGATGTCGTCGACGTAGTCAAGGAAGGACCGCTTGATGTTCCTAGGAGGCTGCTCCGCTGCAATCAGGCGTCGACGCCTAAAATTTTAGGGTTATTTACTGTCGGAATTTTTGTGCCATCGACTGAAATGTTCAGGTCCAGTCTATACTCCTTCGTCCAATTGGTGAAGATGGTCGCTGTGGATTTAGTGGGGGAGAGTGTTAAGTTCCTTGCAGAAAAGAAGCGAGAAAGATCGGAGAGGTAGCCGTTTACTTTTGAACACATGCCATCGATTCCATTGCCCGACGTCAATATCGTACAGTCATCTGCGTACGAGGTCATTGAAATTCCCGCTGGTGGCTGGGGGAGTTTCGAAATGTAGAAATTAAACAGTAGCGGGGAGAGGACACCGCCCTGCGGAACCCCCTGTTTAATTTTTCTGAGTTTGGAGTTTTGACCTCGAAATAGTACGGATGAGTGTCGACCGCTCAGGTAGTTCATGGTCCACCGCTTCAACCCTGGAGGGAGCGTTGATTGTTCCAGGTCCTCAAGTAGCGTTGCGTGATTGACTGTGTCAAAAGCTTTTGACAAGTCCAACGCTACGAGGATCGTCCTCTCGCAGGGTGGCTTCTGGTTCAGGCCATGAACTATCTGGGCGTTTATGACGCTAAGTGCTGTGGTGGTACTGTGCACTTTACGGAAACCATGCTGATGGTCTGCTAGGCTCAGGTGGTGGGTGAATGACGGGAGTAACAAGGCCTCAAGTGTCTTCACTACTGGGGAAAGGAGAGTTATCGGGCGATAAGACTCCCCTTTGTTGGCGGGTTTCCCAGGTTTCAGTAGTGGGACCACTCTTCCGACTTTCCACACATCGGGTATTTGAAGAGTGGATATCGACAGGTTGAGGACCTTGGTGAGGTAGTTTACTCCCGTTGGGCCTAGATGTTTTAACATCAGCATGTTTATTCCGTCAGGGCCGATGGATTTGGATGATTTCGCCTTTTTGATGACATTCTGAACCTCCTCATCGGTGAAAGTAAGTGGTGCGCAGTCTTTTGGCATTTTGCGCAACCGTCGGGTAACACATCGTTTGGCCTTGTCGGTCGAAGGGTGCAGTATAAACTGCCGGCTAAAGTAGCTCGCGCACTTCTTCGGGTCCGAGGAGGCATGGCCATCGAATTGGATTTCAACCCGATCGTCATGTTTCCTCGGATTTGACAGGGCCTTGACAGTAGTCCAAAGCTTACTCACACCGGTGGAGAGGTTGCAGGACTTCAGGTGCTCTATCCATTTTGTCCGCTTATGATGGTTTACCATTTGCCGAATCTCCAAATTGAGATCCCTTATTCGGGGATCACAGGGATCGGCATGGCGTAAGGTGTCGCGCTCATTTGCTAATACAGCTGCTTCGGCTGGGAAATTAGGGCGGAGTTCCGCTATTCTTCCAGCCGGTATGAAGCGAGCTGTAGCAGCAGCGATCACCTTGCGGAATTGACGCTCGCCAACGATGACGTCCGTAGGAATGGATAGTGCGTTGAAGGTGCTCTCAGTAAATTCTGTGAAGCCGACCCAGTTAGCTTTGTTAAAGTTAACATAGGTGCGGTTATCCACAGAAATAAAGTCAGGAGGTTTCTCGATCGAGATAATTATGGGCAGATGGTCTGATGCAAGAGTTAGCATAGGTCGCCAGGTTATACTATTTATCAGACCACCGCTAGCGATGGTAATATCTGGCGAGCTATTACAGGTGCCCATAATTCTGGTGGGGGCTTCGTCATTCATTGTGCAGAATGTCGAATCGTCTATCTGTTCCGCCAGCTCCATCCCCCTACGATCGTTTGACAGGCAGGAATGCCAAAGATCGTGATGCGCGTTAAAGTCGCCTAGCACCAGACGGTTTTCACCACGAAGTAGCGCATCTATATTCGGGTGATATCCTGTTGGGCAACATGTAACTGGGGGGATGTATATATTAAATATTTCGAGCTCGACATCGCCTGACCGGACAGCTATTCCCTGACATTCTAGGGTAGTGTCCCTGCGGTCGATGTCAACATCGATTAGACGATATTGCACGGTGTTGTGCAATATGAAGGCTAGGCCTCCACCATTATATCGCTCGCGATCCTTACGTAAAACGTTGAAACCTGCACAACTCAGAAGATCTGAGCGGCTGTTTAACTTGGCTTCTTGGACCGCAGCTATCGTTACGCGCTCCCGGCTCATAAATGCAACTATCTCCTCGATCTTGCTCTGGAGTCCGTTGCAGTTGAATTGTAAGAGTCGCGTTTGTCGCGGGTGTCCAGTCGTGATCCTAGGGGTGAGTGGGGTGCGTGTAGGTGGTGGTTGTTGCAGCTGTGCTATCCGCATGGGCGGTTGTCGCACTATGGTGTTGGTTGGCGACGCCACTGTTTGTGATTGCGGGGGCAGACTCCCACAGCATGGGGCAACATACAACGCACTCCACTCTCGTGTGGTGCGCAGGCCAGAACACGACAGAAAGTGACACCAGCCAGTACAAGAATTGCACTTGACTGATGTGACATTCCGGCGTATTATGGTCTGACACACGGAACAGACTGTGCGAGGAACCAGGAGTTGCTGTGTGGTTCTCGCACGGGGATTGGAGCTGGATGAAGGTGGGGGGGGGGGGGGTTGGTCAGATTGGGAGTTGTGCTGTCTTTGTGAGCTCCTAAGGACCGTGGAGGTCCTATTTTGGCCACTCGACTGGAGTGGCAGCGCAGTGCGCGAACATGGTGCAGGTTGCACGGCCGTTGAGGCAAATGTCGCATTATTGCGTTGACAGCATGGGGCCACGTAACTCGTGGTCCACTCCCTGTGTGTCTTAAGGCCCGAGCAGGTCTTAAGATGGCTCCATCCATTGCATGTATTGCACCTAACCGAGGTGGAATTTGGATGGAGCCTTTTTGCGCATACGCAGCAGTAGAATACCTCGGGGCCCGGGTTGGACTCGATGCCAGCACGGGTCAGGAGGATACGGAGCAACCCTGCTGCTAGGCGTTGCTCCAGTGACGACAAACTTAATCTAAAACTTACCGATCCAAACAGGGTTAGATCGTCGAAATATTCTTCTATACGTTATTACAGTGTGGTGTTTTGGTGCGTATACGATACAACTGTAATTTATGGTACTTTATTAAAATTAAGAATACACATTTCCAAATGTTTTTCTAATTTTAAATTTTATTTGGTCTATTTAATTTTCGCAATGTACAAAACTACTTAATGTCCATATGGCAATGCACTAATAATGTCCATATAATACTCTACTTAATACTTATAGAATGAATAAAGTACCAAAAATATATAAGAAAATGAATTCAAACTTACTGAATGCGTGTATCTCTAAAACAATGTGTACGCACAGGCTTAGGAATGATTTATCCTATATTTTTTTCTTTGGTAATGTTTTACTTATAAAAACTATGTACTAAAAGTAGTAAAAAGCATTGTTCATAAGCAACTGCAAGGCGGCATTAAAGTAATATACATTTTTAAATTATATTAATCTTAAATATATTTGGTTGTGCAAGCATTTCACTTCAATTACCGCCAACGCAATGTGTAACGTAGTTTACGTAAATGTATTCGTGTATTAAATACGACATCCCATAGTGGACTACTAATGCCATAGCCCATATCCTGATGTGCGAAATGGTGTTGATAGTGATAGCGTTTCATATTGTACATGAAGCGTGTGCGTTGCAGTGAAGGATTTCCATAGTGAAGGTAGTAATGCATCAAATCATAACATAGATAACCGGAGAGTGCGCCGGCTAACACGATTCGTGGTTGTGGCAATAAGACACTGAGTGGTGCGTAAAGTATGCTGGCAATAATTACGCCCGGCAGTGGCGGAAAAACGAGACGCTTCGAATCGAAGGGCACTTTGTGATGCAGTCCATGTATCATAAAATGAAATGAGCACAAGAGTGGATGTGTATTAGCATTCACCTTCATGTGGAACACAAATCGATGGAGCACATATTCGAGAAATGTCCATAAGATTATGCCGGCTGCAAAATTGGCGGCCATAAACGATAACTGTGAATAAAACAGATGTGTGTGCAGTCATTTCATTATTCAACGTACGCATTAAGTCCTTACCGTGCTTATACTAGCTGTATTCCAAATGGGAAAAAACTCATCCCATAAACACTTGCCAATGACGGGTAACCAAAATAGTGGTATAACCCACCAAGAAGTTTTCGTAAACATCTCCAAATATGTTGGTCCGAAAAGACGCAAAGGTCTATCTACCGGTTTATGTACCCATTCATCGTAATGTCGGGTTATGTGCGAAATTTGTGGTAGCATAGCCTTGTTCCAATCCACCAAATGCTGGAATGCAAGAAAATAACAGTAGTTCGTTATTATTATTACAACATAACCAAGGATTTTTGTAAATAATATTAAAACTAAATGTAATTCCAATTGTCATAGCTGCCGGATATTAATAAAACAAACGTTAGTTATTGTTCAAATAATGCATTCAATTTGACTTCTTTTAAAAATTTGGCACCACTGCCAGGAATCATACACAGAGAACGTATATCATAATTTACGTTCTCTGCGTATACGTTCTCTGCATACAGTCAAAGAATGTCAACAAATTGGCATTGAGTTCCTACAGTTGCTGTCATATACAAAAAAGTCAAAATCGTAGAGCGTAAACTTCAAAATTTTTCAAATTTTATTTTGAAAATTTTTATTTTTACAATTCGTGAGAAGAATATTTATTTTGTCTGAGTTTATATAGCAGTAAAAGCAGTAAAACGGAGGGAAATAAGCGAAGAAACGAGAGCAGCTCTTTCATGAGCAACGGAGGAGTAGTAGAGTCACGCAGTAAAAGTGCAATATCTGCGACATCGGTGAAACCCATGGAAACATTAAAGGGTATTTTCAGTGTCCCCAGTAAGTATAGCTGTCGAAAGAAAGCAATTATAACAATAATAAGAAAGAAGTGGGAGATGTTTGTATAAGGGTTTTAGTTGGCATGCACATATTACGTTGCCATTGTTTGTGACTTGTCGGTTGTCAGGAGCAACTAAGGAGCACATACTGTTTATATTGACAGGACTTTTGTTTTTCTCTTTTTTTTACAATTATCGTACAAATGCCAGAACTAAATAATTTAAAACTTTTACTCTAAATGTAGAGATGGATCGTAACCGTCGAAACTTCCTGAGGGAGAATAAATTGAGTTTACGTGAATTACAAAGAGTGACTAATAAAAGTAAAATGCAACAGCAGCAAGAACAACTGTTACGGGAACAAAAGTACGCTGGACGCCGTTCACAATCTCAACAACGTAACAATAACATTTGTTTGGATGTAAGCATAAAGTTTGAAAGTTTTTTTGTTCTAAATCTAGATTTGACACTCATTAATTATTCTACTTTATACTCCATAGAAACAAACGGTGGCACGTTGTCCTTCATTATCACGCGTTCCCAGCGGCCGTGTTATGGGACCTTCTGTTGCTGGTAGTGTCGGCGATTGTGCAAATCATATTAGTAGGCGCAGCGTTTCGCGAACAAATAGCACGACGACAATCAAATCTGTACATAAGCAAGTGCAAACTGAAGACATACAAGACGAACAATTTCTTTACGACGCATTGAAGCGGTTAGAGCGCAACCTTAACGAAATTGTATGCTTTTTTTTGCTAATTAATATTTATTTTTAACAGTTGTACTACCAACGAATGTCAGTCACGTTTTAATGGTTTACAACCAAACTTCACGCCACGTTCACAACATACCGCAAACGATGCGCAAAGCCGACACTCGTTTTATCCATCAGCCGATGAGGACCAAAGGTGTCTGGGGAATACAGATGACCGCATGTTTGCTACGCAACAACAAATGGAGGATCCATACGTGCAACGTGAAGATACCAATAATTATGGGCAACAATATAATGGACAGCAACATGGCGAAGTAATTGGAGGTGATGATGCAGATACAGTGAATAATGAAAATGTTGAACGCTTGTATGCGCCCGAATCATCATCAAAGTACAATTTTGCACCAACACCACGCTCTCAAAAACACTTCACCAATGGATATAATATGGTGGAAAGTGATGGATTACCACCAACTACGACAATGCAATCATCATATGAACCACCAGATCAACAGCAACAGCAACCACCATTGCGTTACCGTATGCAACCTCATGTACAAGGTGATTTACGTGCCAATTTCGAAAATATGTCTTTAAACAACGGCTACGGCGGCGGTGCTGACTGCGATGTTGGCGTTGATGAAGATTGTGGTGCCATAGGAAACAGTGGTGGTGTTGAGGCTGTTTCCATATCCGGCCGTAGTCGACGTACGAATATCTCACATACTTCACAGCACAGCAACACAGATTTGGCCAAGAAGCGCTCTAGTGGTAGCATACACAAACTAGGTTGTAAGTTAAAAAACAAGTTTATGGTAGTAAATATTTTACAGTTATATTTATGCAACTTCCACAATTATGCTTGCAGCTCGAGATAATATAAGTCTGCCTCGTTATTTGGAGCGTGAAAAACGTGAAAAGGAGGAACATCGGCAACGTCAAAGTGAACGCGATCCCAATTGCCCACCTGGACATTATCCGCTATCGGATAAGGAGCGTCAGGCAGCACTTCAGTCAGCTGAAAATAGTGCGTAACAAGACTAAATTATATCTATGTGTATTTTTTTTTTTTATTATTTTCATTCATAATACTTTCAGGATTCAAAGCACTTGTAAATGAACTAAATCGCATGCCTATGACAACTGAAACTTTACGTATGCGCGTGCGCAAAGCCGAAATCGAGAAAGAACTGAAACTGCTCGAAACCGATATACGGGTATTCTCCAAGTCTAAGGTGTATGTGAAGCATAAGGAACAGAATATTTGAAATAAACACTTTTGTGCGTAAATGTATATGTTTGACTACAGCCAGCGCGGCGAAGAAATGTAAATGTAAAAAAATGTGCATAAAATATACTTTAAGACACTACGATGACAGCAATGTCATTGACCTTTACTAACATTTTTTCCTATATATATTTAATTGCTTTTATTTATTCCTTTGTCATTAGCATTGAATACTTATTTTTCCCTTTTATGTATTCCTTAAGGCATTCCAATGTTTAGCCATCGAGGTGTGTGTTCGTATATTTGTGCGATTATATAACTAACTACGTGATTTCTGATATGCAACATTGCATGTGTGTGCGAGTTGGATATTTGTTTTTAAAGCTACATATGTATATGTAAACAGAACAGAAAACCACCTAATTCTTAGGTACGGATATCTACTAATGAAATATATTATTTCTTATATTATATAAATATGCAAGTAAATATTTGTATGAAAACCAAGAATCTATTGATATACATTTTTATGTAATTAACTACCTGAAAACTTTGAAATCTATTTAAATTTGATATAAACTGAAAATAATTACTTCAAATTAAATAGCATTTGCATTTAAGACGATTATAATATGAAACAAAACTGAAAAAATATTTATTTAACAGCGTATGTAAAGAAATAAAATGAATTTATATTTAAAATTCGCTTCGCAGCTTTACGTAATGATTTTACTGTAAAACTTTTTGAAACATGATTGACCATACCCCATATAAACGCAGATCTTCTGAGCTGTGTTGAAACACTGACAGAAGATATATGTAGCTGCCATATAAACTGATCGATCAACCAGAGAACATAAAATATGTGCAAATGCAAACAATAAAACAAACCACATCGCGGCGTGAGATTCATCTGGTACGGTGCCTGCTTTACTTTTGTAGAGCCAGCTGGCAGCCAGCTTCCCGTGAGGTCACCTTCTGACTTTTAAATCTCATAACATCGAGGCAAAAGAGTTACTGACCAGGCATAGTTAAAAATGTACACATAGCATTAATTCATTCTCTGGTTCCCTCATCAAATTTCTCTGCTTGATCATGTTATCAAAGCTGTAATTCTATAGATTCCATTCTGCTAAAGATCAAAACAATGTTAATATTTTACTAGGGGAATTCCTTGGTTGTGACCTGTATTCCCCGATTAAAATTTTTCAAATGTTTACTCTCGAACCTGCATGTTACCGTTCTTTTAAGTTCTCTGATTATACGTTCTCTTGATCCGCATCAAGTTCTTGCACAGAAAACTTTTTTTTTTCGAAAAAATATCATCAGAAGATTTTGTACAGATAATTGTCCAAATCAGCGCTACAATCACCGAACAAATTGTTCAGATTGAACCAATATTGTATATAGCTGCCGTTCAACTGATCGATTAAAATTAAGATAAAGATCTTTTTATATACTTTAATGGTATAAAAAATGCACCTAAGAAGACTATAATAGCTTTGATGTAAGCGAAGTTAATGTTTTTTCTGACACTTAACCTTCGAATTTAAGTCGCAGTTGTCAAACTGTAGTGATTTTTAGATCCATCCATACATACATAGTACATTTGTACTTAATTTACTTTTTCTAAAAAATATTATCCTATCTTATCTATATTGCTGTTAACTAGTGTAAGCAAAGTTATTTGGTTATCGCTAAATAGATGCCAGAAGAGATACACCCAAAGTGTTTGTGATAATTACTATTTCTTTAAATTATTGCGTCAATAAAAAGTATATATTTATCTAGTAATCATAAAATTTTGTTATATATATACAATATATATGTGTGTAAATGCAAAATGGCCTAAAAACCAACACTGCAAAAATGATAATCAATTTTCCTTCAACTAAAGTGATAAGCTTGTTTATTATTTATATATATATATTTTATACCTTGGTGTAATTTTATATAAGGCTATGTTGAAATGCATATAAATATTACATTTGTTAACACAAAATTTATCATTATTAGTTAATATAAAATACGTTAGCAACATCAAATATAACAACACTTGGCAGCACTGTTATAATTAACGACTTCATGTATGTTCTTCCTGAAAGTTTAGCTTAATTCAAATAACCTTGTTTTTAAAACGAAATCAATTTTTGTTTTTATCTTTTATCCATTCCCTCACTTTATTTAGCATTTCTTAAACTCACCTCCATACTCTCGTCCAATTGATTATTATTTTTGTCTTCTTCGTGCAAAGCATCGCCTAACAACTCTATGCCATTTTGATTGGACTCAGAAAAGGTTTGTTGCTGCTGTTCATTATCAACAGCAAGCAGTTCATCTTCCACGTTTTGATGCAGCCGATGCCTCCTTTTGGTGTCATTCTGTAATTGTGTGGGTTTGATTTCGTACTCCTTCATCAGGTACATGGCAGCGTCCGAGTGTGGTGGAGCGTGCAGGAAACGTGTTGTCATATCGCTATTGTTTAGGCCACGCAGTGTATTCATCCCGCCTGGATGATTTTGTAGAAAACGTCTTATATCGTAATATTTTTGTCGATACTTAATAATAAATTGTTGTTCTTCACTTTCTTTTAAGCCATTTCTCACACTTTTGTCATTTTGTTCTATTCTTTGTTGTTGTTCGTTTTGCAAATGCATGGCTTTGCCATTTAGCATAGATTTCGTTGTCGTTGTTAGTGGCATTGCTGTTGTTGTTGTTATAGCGGCAGACGTTGCCGATGACAGTGTGAGATCTGATACTGTAGTCGGCATTTTATAGTGTGTATTGTTTTTGACAACCCACTGCGGGGGTGTACGGTGGTTAAAAATGTGGTGTTATATGCTGAAATGGCAAACAAGGAAAACCCAATAAGTGATTGTAAGATAATTATGATGGAATAATTTTGTATGTATGTACATATGTGTATCTGCAAATATTTTATCATACCCATAATAGGGTATATTAAGTTTACCACGAAGTTTGTAACACCAAGAAGTAAACGTTGGATACGTTATAAAATAATATATAAACATATATGTTCAACGTGACGAGCACAATTGATTTAGGCATGTCCGTCTGTCTGTCCATCTAGATCAAAATCTAGAAATAGATATTTTTATACTCTTTTATGGTATAAGAAATGCACCTGTGAAGGTTATTATAGTTTCGGTTTTTAGTTTTAATTTTTCTTTTTAGTTTTAATTAAAAACACTAACACCTTCATTCTAAGATTAAAATATTTGATTCAACTAATGTTAATTATTGTAGACCTGCGTGCGTTCACGAATTGCAGTTCATGTATTTCGTGTACTATTTCAATCAACAAGTACAACAGATAGTCGATGAGCACAAGTCATGCAAAACTTCACATTTCATGATGATGAGAAATTACAATAGTTTTTAATAAACAATATCTTTATTGTCGGTTAAATTCTTCGATAACGCGAGCATTTCAAATATTTGGGTTCTTTGTATGTATTGAGATTATCAATAGAATGGATTATTCGTGCCTATAAGATTAGCAATAGTAAATACGAAAAATAATTCAAAATGTCAATGGTTTCGATAATTCCGATGGATCAGCAAAACTGATATCGATAATGTTATCCAGAAAATTTCATTAAAATCGCAAATAAATAGTAACAAGTAATGGACAAGTTATACATTTTTTATGAGTACAAAAAAAAATACATATTTGTTGTTAATAATATGTATATTATATATATATAATATAATAGTGAATATCTATTATGTACATAATTATATCAGTTTGTATGCGTGTGGTTTGTGTTGTGCTTCCAAAGGTCAATCCCACTGTAGTTTCTTTCAATTAGCGTCACAGTCAATCATTAAATGCTTATAGTCATTAACACGTTTGATTGTCTATTGATTTTTATACTGTCGCAACATGTTGCATAGAGTATAATAGTTTTGTTCATACAAGTATAATAGTTGTTCGAAAGTTTTAAATTAATCAATACAATTATAGTTATCGATATGGATATATATTCAAAACAAATAAAACAAAATGTGATATACCTTAGTCCTTTATTAAGATATGACGTCGACGTATGGTTACAACCCACCGTCCGAAACTACTAAAATTGCACGCATGTCAATCAGTTCAAACTTAGACAATGGGTGTAACCCACTTATGTGAAAATTTTCTATCTAAAATTTCTGTGTAACATATTTCAAAATAAACGAAATCTAACTATTGTATAACAGCGCTCTTTTTCCAAAGAACGCCATTTGGAATGACTTGGGGTTATTGTCTTCTTCGTAATAGATAACTCAAGCATGAAGGCAGTTATCGAAATAAAACTTACTCTAAATTATGCTCCTGATATAAGGCAATCCCAACACCAATGATCGAAGTCCAGCATCCAAAACTAGGTATCATATACTAAAGTACTTGTATTAACTTCCGGTCGACTTAAAAGTATATTTATTGGCAGGAGGAATTATGTATGTTACAAGGGTGAAGGAGTCTTTGGCCTTGCGATGAAGGAATGTTTTTTAGCTTTAAAAATATGACTTTATTTTGCGACATAATCTAGATCTACAGTAATGCCTTTGTTGTAACAATCCGCAAACATTGTGATACTAGTTTTCAGCTTGACCACATCTAAAAATATTTTCCAGCAAAATGACTCTGATATGGTTCATTAAGTTATGTCTTTAATTTATCGGTTCTTGTCATTATTGTGTTTTCAGGTGCTTGAGACGACTTTCGCTGGGCAAGAACTATTGCTGCAATCGAACTTAATACTTTCTTACTTGAAGTGACTATTTCTTTTGCTTTAATGCATTAGAAATTCAGTTGAGGGACTGTTTGTTTATACACACGAGTAACGTGCTACAGTGTTGTAAGTGTTTGAAGTGATTGCTTTGCTTTATATTATATGTGAGTTGTGAGTTACGTTGTTAAGTTAAGTGTAAACAATGTTCTTGTAATATGACACCTTAAGATGGTAATGGTTAATGAAATATTTCTAGTTGTACTCATACGATGGTAAGACTACTCAATATAAATTTCAATTAGATGTTGTAAAATGTACAACAACTTCTGAGAGAATGTTGAGAAACGTTCTTAAGTGTTTGGGTATATAAATATTTATAAAAATACGTCAATACGTTATTTGTTGACTTAAATTGAAACAAATATTTTTTTCTTGTTACAAATTTGGCAATTTACCTTATCTCTATATTATGGTAATTTCCAGATTCCGATTTTAAGCTATTGTTTGAGATTCGAATTTCAAAATACTCGTTCAAATAATTCGAAATGGGTCCTTAAGTCGATTTAAATAACTATTAAATATTATTTTTAGATATGTATAAAGTACATTCTCAGTCGATTTAACCAAGACCGTTTGTCTGTCTGTATATATGCAAACTAGTCGCTCAGTTTTTGAGATATCGATCAGAAATTTTACACACATCCTTTTCTACCCAAGGAGCGGACTATTTGTTGTAACCGCCGATATCGGACCGCTGAAACATATTGCTGCCATAAAAACTGAACGATCAGTATCAAGTGCTTGTATGGAAAACTTTTTTATTTGACGAGGTATCTTCACGAATTTAGGCACACAATATATTCTCTGCATGAACGATCGGAAACAAGTTCTTGTAAGGAGCCTTTGTATTTGTCTAGGGTATTATAGCTTCGGCGCAACCGAAGTTAACGACTTTTTTTTTAAATATTGGTGTATGCATTAATTCGTGCGGTTTTTTTACGAAAATTAAAACTTTATTGTGAAAAAATTGGTATACATTTAATGTTCAAAGTATTGCCCATCGGAAGCTATGATGTTTGCCCATCTTTCTGGCAGTTTGTGGATCCCATCCCAAAAGACCTTCTCCGGCTTGGAGGTCAAGAAAGAATCAATCCAATTTCTGATACCCTGTTCTGAAGAGAAGCGTATTCCGGTGAGGGCATTCTGCATTGATCTGAACAAGTGGTAATCGGAAGATGCTATGTCTGGGCTATAAAGCGGGTGAGGTAGAACTTCCCACCCACAGTTTTCCAAATAGTTTTTAACTGGCCTTGCAACATGTGGCCGAGCGTTGTCATGATGAAAAATTATTGATTCGTGTCTGGTCGCATATTCTAGTCGTTTTTCCGCGATGGCCTTTTTCAAACGAATCAATTGTTTTCGGTAGAGGTCCCCATTGATCGTCTGACCCGATTTCAATAGCTCATAATAGAGCACACCCTTGTGGTCCCACCAAATACATAGCATAACCTTAGTAGCATGGATATTCGGCTTTGCCGTGGATGTTGATGGTTGGCCGGGCTTCACATACGATTTCTTGCGCTTTGGGTTATCATAATGAATCCATTTTTCATCGCCAGTGACAATCCGATGCAAAAACGACTTCTTTTGGTGGCGTTGAAGCAACATTTCCGACATGCAGAATCGACGTTCGACGTCTCTTGGCTTTAATTCATAAGGCACCCAATTTCAAAGCTTCTGGATGAATCCTAATGATTTTAATCGTCTGGAAACGGTTGCTTGATCAACTCCTAATACTTTTGCAAGTTCTTCTTGCATCTGGCATGCATCTGCGTCGAGCAATGTCTCCAATTCTTCGTCTTGAAGTTTGTTTGGCTGTCCGGGTCGTTGTCCGTCGTCTAAGTCGAAATTGCCACTTTTAAACCGTGCAAACCACTTTTGGCACGTTCGTTCGACTAAAGCATGGTCACCATAAACGTCCAGTAAAATACGATGGCTCTCGGCAGCACTTTCCTTCATGTTAAAATAATGAAGAAGAACTCCCCGCAAAAACACTTTATCTGGTACAAATTTCGACATTTTCAAATGAATGAAACAAATTGTTGTTCACGTTCAAACAATTTATATCTACTGAAAACGACGCGAAATGGCAGTACCTTTGAAATGAATATAGCCACAGATGAATACGACGCGAAATAATACTAGTAGAGCCCTCTCTTAGAAAACCGCACGAATTAATGCATACATATAAAAAGATATAAATATATATATATCTATATTCCTTTTATTAATACATTTTTTATATATATTTCTCAAAAACCGTCATTTGTATATGAATCCATATCGATAACTATTTTTGTTTTCCGAAAAGTGTTCGTAGTATTAAGCAGATGTTAATTTTTTATGCAGCATCGACCAAACGTTTTTAACATTTTTAAACTATGATAAAAATAAACAGCATAAATTAGATACATACTTATTTATTACAAAAATACACAGAAAGCCTCAGTGATCTTATTTATTTTGACAATACCGCGTCTGATAAGAAATTTCTTTAATGACAGCTTGACACACGTCAAAAGGCAATGCACCTTCGAGAATTTTATTTTTGAGATAATCTTAAAAAAGTGTTCATTAGAAACAGCTGGGCCATATTTCAACCCTTTTTCCTTGTGCTATAGTTGAATAATCAATACGTCGATAATACTGGCATATAGCCATTGGTTTGCTTATACAAGTATTTCATCAACCGACTGATCAATGTAGCGAACGATAATGTAAAGGAACTTTTGGGCCACCCTATTATATGTACATATTTATATACTTGTAATACTTTTGTCTTATTATTTGACATACGAAAAAATTATTTCATTTTTGTATGTGGCGTAAATATGACTATAAAATAAAATCAATATATGTGCATATTTTTGAATTCCATTAATATTCTATTTTTGAAAATCGATGTAGTCAAAATGTTTGCCATTTTATGAGTTTAAAATTTCGAAATTCGTGTCTGCATACATATAGACAGAAATATTCAAAATTAATTGAATTGGACTAATATACTGTTTTCCACAAAAACTAAAAGTATTTGTTAAT